TCCTTTTATTTTCGGCTGCAGGATGAAATGGCTCCCTGAAAGCCTCTGTCTTCTTTCTCTTTTAAAAGTGACTTGACAATTGATAATTTTGCCCTGGTGACGGACACCTCAGAGCTTTTATATCTTGGAGGCCAAACATTGATGTAGTGTGAAATGGGAGCTTGGCGGAGCCTTTGTGCAGATCTCAGGCTTCCTGAAAAATTTATTTACTGTGGCTGTGATCCGCAGGAGCGAATTGATGTTTATCTATAGTCGTCTGCACCAGCAAGGAGGGGAAAAATGCATAACTGCACTTCTTCGGAAGCCTTGCGAGGCTGTTTAAATAAGTATCTAATAGTGAACTTTCAATAGCAGGCAGGCAGTTTGACGGACAGGGGACAGTGTATTATTAACCATAAGCAGGCTTAAATCTTTCCCCCACATTTTAGAGGAAGCTTTATAACCTTCTGGTCGAGGAATTCATGAGAACCAGGTATTTGAAGCTAAGCAAAAATTATCCTGGCTGTTCCCATGGTGGAATCGATCACCCAAGAGCCGCATGAAGGAGGAGAACAGAGGCTGTGGCTGGGCCTGGTGTGAGCAGCACTGACTGCCTCACTGTGGCGGAAGGGCAGGAGAAGTGGACAGGGACTGGGAGCGGGCAGAGGGGGGCAGAGGGGGGCAGAGGTCATGCTGGGGGCCTGGTTTTCCTGCCAGGTAAGTAACTTCTGCTGTCACCTGAGCTTGGGGACTGGGATCAGGGACCTGTGTCTTCCCGATGTGCCCTGGCTGCAACAGCACCTTTGGTGGCCTTTGGTGGCATCCCCCTTTTTTCTTTGAAACAGGGTCTTACTCCATTGCCCTGGCTAAATGCAGTGGTGCAATCCTGGCTCACTGCAGCCTCAACCCCTTAGGCTCAAAGGATCCCACCTCAGCCTCCCCAGTATCTGGGACTACAGGCGTGTGCCACCATTCCTGGCTATTTTTTTTTTTGGCTGGGGAATGATGGGGGTCTCACTGCCCAGGCTGGTCTCCTACTCCTGGGCTCAAGTGATCTTTCCATCTCAGCCTCCCCAAGTGCTGAGAAGACAGGCGTGAGCCACCGCAGCTGCTGCACCCACCTTTTAAGCAAGGAAGCGATTTATATGATACTGGTCAATGCCTGTCTGTCTTGCTCATCGGCCTGGAAGTTTTTTGCAGCCTGAAGGCTGTCTTATTTAACCGGGGAGGCGCTCTTGATCTCTGCAAGAAGATAGACTAGCTTGGTAACAGAATTGTCCCCTGGCCCCTATCTCGCTGTCATCACTGTGGGAGTCCTGCAGCCTTCAGTGTCTGCCTCCCCCTGTTTAGAGGGTCAGCCGCAAGCACCCAGGGACTCATCGCCTTCAACTCAGTCTGCCCAGCACCAGATACCCCATAGCATTTCTTATGCTGTTTATTGAATGGCTAGCCATGCGTTTTCCTGGGGTGGGAACAGCTGTGGTTAAGAGCATGAAGGTGGCCAGGCATGGTGGCTCCCACCTGTGACCCAGAACTTTAGGAGACAGAGGCAGGTAGATTACTTGAGCTCAGGAGTTCAAGGTTAGCCCGGGCAACATGGTAAAACCCCATCTCTACAAAAAAATGCAAAAGTTAGCCAGGCGGGGTGGCACACACCTCTATTCCCCACTACTCAGGAGACTGAGGTGGGTGGATTGCGTGATCGCAGGAGGTTGAGGCTGCAGTGAGCTGTGATTGCACCACTGCCCTCCAGCGTAGGCCACAGAGTGAGACCCTATCTCAAAAAACAAAAAGGATGGTCAAATTCCTGTCTGTTACCTACTGTGTTCTTAGCCAAGTGGCCTCCCTTCTCTGAGTCTTTGTTTCCTGGTCTAATGAGGTAAGGAGGGAAATGACTTCACCGTGTTAAGTCTCAGTTTCCTCGTTTGTAAAGTAAGCATAATGGTGTCCCCCCCCCCCCCCGCCCCCAGGGCTGCCATGAGGGTGGAGGAGCGGGTGCAGGTGGAGGACTCTGTGAGAGTGACAGCTGTTCTTATTCAAATTGTATTGATCAGTATTAGCATTACTACCATCACGACTTTTTCTCTATAACATAAAAGGAAACTCCCAGCCTCTATTTGTCTGCTTCGGACACTGTCACCCCTTTCAATGTCCCAAAGCCAGAATGGCGACCATGCTGGGTGCCGTGCAGGGTCAGGAAATGCTGGACGTGAGTCCCTGCAGACGGTGGTTGCTCTCATGCATCTGCTCCATGCAGGAGCCATGAGCTGCCCCCGGAGCCCAGGCCCCTGTGTGAGTATGAGCCTCCTAAAGTGAGGGCTCCAAGGCTGAGAGGGTCAGCGGTGATGCTGGGACAAGAGGGAGTGCCAGGGGCTCAGCCAGTGGCTCGTGGATGAGTGATGCTTCCAGGATTAAGTTGGCCACTGAGCCCCCCATCAGCAGGGAGAACCAAGAGCTGCCTGGTGCTCAGAGTAGTTGTCATCACCAGAGCCTGGTCCACATTCTTGCAACAGCTCAGAGAGTACAAATGGAGCCCTCTGGTGGGGGTGAGTGAGAATCAGACCATGGTGGGCTCAAGTTCCCTACCTGCCTGGGCTGAGGTTCTTTATCTACCCCGGGCTGTTCTATCCCCCGACCCCTCATGTTTCTTTTTATTCTCCCAGAAGCCAGTTAGGTTTACCCAAATTATCATCACAGCCACCATGGAGCAGTGTGGGAGCCCAGGTCCTGTGCTGGGTGCTCCCCATGTGAAATCTCAGGAGCTTTTATCACTTACACCCATTTTCCAGAAGAGGAAACTGAGGCTCACAGAGGCAAAGTCACTTCCCTGAGGCCCCACAGCGTAACCATGATCTGTCCCTCTTCTCTGATGCTTCACATCCCCACTTTCCAGCTCAGTGGTGCCTCTAGCCTCCTCTTTACCTCCAGAAAGCAAGGCCAGCTCAGCTGTGGGGTGGGTTTGTGAGTGGAGCTGGAACTGCTCAGGAGATCTGGCGTGAATAAGTTGGGGATGTATAATCCCAGCACTTTGGGAGGCCAAGGCAGGAGGATCACTTGAGATCAGGAGTTCGAGACCAGCATGGTGAAACCCCATCTCTACTGAAAATACGAAAATTAGCTGGGCATGGTGGCATGTGCCTGTAATCCCAGCTACTCAAGAGGCTGAGGTAGGAGAATCTCTTGAACCTGGGAGGTTGCAGTGAGCTGAGATCGCAATACTGCACTTCAGCCTGGGTGACAGTGAGACTCCATCTCAAAAAATAAATAAATAAATAAATAAAAGTAGTTGGGGGGGCAGCTAAGATCTTGGCTTCAGAGGGTGAGTCACTGTTGTCAAGATAAAAAGAATGAAATCCTAAAAGCAGAGCCTTGCCAACACATTGAACAGAACCCGGCACCCCTGGCCGTTCTGCACTGGGCACCCTTCCTGATCCCTTCTCATGCTTCTGATGGGCGCTCTGGTCCAGATACACCCATGAAGGTGAAGTGGGGCCCTTGAATGTGTGTGTGTTACCTGAGACCACTAGGTGTGACTTGGAATGAAGACCCACATTGTTCTGCGCTCAGGTCCTCAGATGCCTGTCTTCGGGTGACAAACCCCAGCTCCCACTGCTTCCTGTTAAATTTTGGGAAGTGTTTTAGGAAATGACATGCCATTCACCTGCTTGTCCCCAAGCCCTCCATCTCCAGACGGCAGCATGGGGAGGTGGGAAGGAAGCAGAGGAGCTGGGGTCTTTCTTTTGGGCTTTATTTATTAGCAGCAAACTAATATGTGAATATGTGAGCTGAGAGCAAGGTACCAGCAGCAAAGGGAGCTTAAAATGATATTAATCACAGCAGCAATAACTGACACATATTCATGTGCCTACCCTGGGCCAGAGCTAGGGAGCTCCTAGATAAATAAGATGGGCTCCTGCTCTCAGAGGGGTCATCGTGGTGAGAAGACCACCCATGACTGCACAAGCTGGCATTTTCCCACAGCAGCGGGTCCAGCTCAGCAGGCATTCAGTCAGGAGCCAGGGAGGAGCCACGAAGAGACTGCAGTGAGTTTGCCAGGTAGGGGATCGGGGTGGCTATCTTATACCTGGGAACAGCATCGGGCACCAGGAACAGCGTGGGCATTGGCGCAGAGAACCCAGGCTCCGGGCGTGTGAGTCATTTTGCTGGGATTGAGGTGAGCTTGGAGTAGTTGCTGAATGTCAGATCAGACAAGGTCCCCAGGCCACTGCATGGAGTTCGGACTTTTCTCTGAGGCTCAGAGTAAGGATTTGGGGTATTTAATTCTAAGAGCTACAGGAAGACAATTGAAGGGTGGAAGCTGGGGACAACAGTGACAGGATCCACTTACCTTTCACAAGGAAGTCTCAGGCCACCACGGAGAGGAAGGTCATGGGGGTTATAGCAGTCGGGGGCTAGACACAGTGGCTCCTGTAATCCTAGCACTTTGGGAGGCCAAGGTGGATGGGTCACTTGAGGTCAGGAGTTTGAGACCAGCCTGGCCAACATGGTAAAACTCCGTCTCTACTAAAAATTTAAAAATTAGCCGGGCATGGTGGTGGGCACCTGTAATCCCAGGTACTCAGGAAGCTGAGGCAGGAGAATTGCTTAAACCCAGAAGGTGGAGGTTGCAGTGGGCCGAAGTCATGCCACTGCACTCCAGCCTGGGTGACAGAGTGAGACTCCATCTCAGAGGAAAAAAGAACAGAGTGGGGAGACCGGGAGGAGCTGCTGCAGTCATCGGCCTTGGCATCAGGGCTTCTGGGTGCAGGCCAAGGAGGGACCTTTCAACGTAGACTCGTGTCTCTGGAGGGAGCCTGCCCAGGCTGCTGTGAGCTGCCTTGCCTGCATTTCTTCTTTCCATCTCACATCTTGATGCTCAGGGACTGCACAGCCCCATTTGACAATGTGGTGACATGTTAACAGTGGGGAAGGGCTGAAGGGGGCCTATACCTCCAGCCCCAGAGCAGCTCTCACAGGAGCAGGGAGCCAGTGTCACCTCCCTCTCTCTAGCAAGGACTCACTTGTTCTGATTCCCTTTCTCTTCATGAGTCCAGAGGAGGAAGGCAGTGAGCCACGCTGGAAGGACTTGGCCTCAGCTGGCATGAGCTGGGTGGGTATTCATGTATTCATGCACTAAGTAGCCACCCGTGGGGCTCACTCCATGCTTGGTGCCAGGGAAAGGGGGAGCACCGCAGACAGGGACAGCCAGGAGCACAGCACATAGAGCCAGCCTGAGAAGAGCCGTCCCTGAGCAGGAGCCAGGAGGCCTCCAAGTGAAAAGAGGTGCTCAGTATAGCCTGGAAGGCCGAGGAAGCCTCCCGGAGGAGGCCGCCTGCATCCTATGCTCAGTGAAGGCAGGAACTGCACTGCCCCACTCAATACGGGATCCCAGATGCTCAGCAGTGTGGAAGGAAGTGACTGGAAGCTCAGACCTGAAGGGCGACCAGGTCCAGCTCCAGCAGAGGCAGGCACGTGTGTTCAAAGTGGAGGAAACGTCCTGGCCACAGGCTCGGAGGTGGGCTTTGTGCAAATCACTGTGCAGAGTGCCTGGGACCTCCTGGGTGAGCAGGGAGTGGCAGAAGCTGAGGCTGAGGCTGAGGCTGAGGCTGGAGGCAGTGCTGCATTTTCGGGTCTAGGCCTCAGAGCTCGTAAAAATAGCTCGCTGCTTTCTTAAACCATTATGTGGTTTCTCTTCTTCCTTCATTCCTTGCCAAGCCCGGAAAGCCAGGTTGGGTCACTGCTGGGAGGTATGAGGTGAGACTTGGGTTTGCAGGCAGGGCAAGTTGTGGGGAGGTGGGGGTGGCCCTCTATTTCCTGGGGGCAGACCTGCCATTTGAAAGCCACCTTCCTCATGTATAGTGCTCTCATGGGAGAACAGGAGCGGACCTGCAGGGATCCTGGGTGGGGCGAGACAGAGTCTCAAGGGAAGTTGGGGGATGTCTCTGCCGGATTTGGGGCTCCCAGGCTCTCTGATAACCTATCGGGTTTATCGGGCACCAAAACTGGAGCCCATCCTGCAGAGGTGGTGTCAAATCAGACCCAGGTGGCCTGGGTCAGGGCCCATCATGCAGAGTGACCCTCTGTCCCCTCCATGCCCAGCGAGGCCAATGGGCAGCTAGGAGGCGAGGTACCGTCTGGCTCGATCGAGAGCCAAAGAGGTAATGCTAATGTCTTTTAAAATTAGAATGAAAATGTTTATTGCAGAGCAGAACCTGCGTCAGCTCAGAGTCCTGTGGGAAGGGAACGGCTTTATCGCAGCCTTTCGCTTTTATTTTTGCACATTTGCTTTTTATTTGCCGGTGGTGCTGCTGACGGGCCCTCGGAGTGGGTCTGTGTCTGGACACTTCTGGGAGCCTTGGACGGCTCCGGAGAGGGAGCAGGAGCTGCCAGGGTGAGTGTGAGGGCCCACCAGGGGTTCAGAGGACTTGGGGGATGTAAGAGCAGGAAGCTGTGACTGTGTATGTGTGTGTGTCCTTGTGCCCATGTGTCCTTGTGCCCATGTGTCCTTGTGCCCATGTGTGTGTCCAGCCCGATGTATGCGTGGCATGTGTGGCTTTCCATGTGTCTTTCTCTGTGTGCATGGTGGCTGTGAGAGCCATCCACGCGTGAGATTGAGCGTGGATCTCTGCCTGTCTCTGTGGGCACTCATGAGTTGTGTGTGTGTCTTTGTTGTCAGAGGTGGCCATGGGTGTGGCTGGATGTGGGTCTTGGCCCTCTGTGTCTGTGTGGATGTGTGTGTACATCTTAGGGAGACACGTGGGTGTGTGACTGGTGGGTCTTTGTGGGTGCAGACACCCATGTGTGTAAGTCAGAGGGGTATGCATGTGTATGTGAGTAAGCGTGAGTGTGCACACACTGTGTGTGTGGATTGTATCATTTGAACATGTGAGCTTGCATGGAGGAAGGTGTCACGTGGCAGAGTGAGTTGTGTGCATGTAATTGCATGTGTGTGCTGCATATGAGAACGTGTGGACTGAGCACACCTTGCACAGGAGGGCGTGAGCAGTGCTCAGTGCTGGAGCACATGTGTAAGCATGTGTGTGAGCACATGTTGCATGCATTGCATATGCACACACATGTGGGGTGCTTCCATCTTGCATGGGGGAGTTCCCAGCAGAGCCCTCCTGGGCAGCTCAGCATGCCACCAAGGAGGTCACTGTAGACTCCCAGCCTCTTGCCTCGGCCCCAACTCCAGTCAGAGCCTGGAAAACACCCCCCCAGTCCCTCTGAGGGCTGTGGCCATTTTTAACCCAGCCTATTTGAACCAAGATGGTTTTGTCGAGATTTGCCTTCTGTAGCTTGGGCTATAAAAACAATGTGTGTTTTGTTTTTGGAAGGGGTGTTGCTTTGTAAAATCAAAAGACTTTGTGATACAAATGTGCTTTTTCAAGATACACCCACCCCTTGTGATGAGGACCCCTGGTTAACAGAGGTCAGTCCGGCCCGGGAGAGGCTGGTGCCCCGTGATTGGTTCCCAGGATCCACCTTCCAGGAAGGCTGCCCCAGCTGGGTGGTGAGGGACTCTGGCCACAGCCCTGGAGATTGTCACTGTCCCCCAGATAGCCACACCGCAGCAGCCCTGCACCCTGCCACCTCCAGGGTGTGACTCCCTCCAGCCGCTTCTCAGGCTAGAAAAGCCACGCCTTGCAGGGAACCTGGTGGCTGCCAGGCTGCTCCACAGAGCCGGGGGAACCTCCTTTTGATCTCTGTCCCCATCCGGCTCACTGTCCCTTCACTGGGATTTGTCATGTTATGGTATCACCCTCTGCAGATCCAGTGCTGGGTGGGTGAGCAGGTAGGGAGAGTCACATCTTACAAAATAGAAACCAGGTACTCTGCAGAGTAGAATATGATGGCGCCAGTGCGAGGTGCGTATCTGGAGCCTGGCTTTGAATTCTGTGTGGCCTTGGGCGTGCTGCCAAGCTTCTCTGAGCCTTAGTCTTCCCACCTCTAAAATGGGAGCCATAGCAGTGCCAGGCTCAGGGCTGTCTCTTTCTGGAACGTGGCAGACTTCCATGGGCTGGATTGGTTCAGTGTGTCCTAGCTATGTGTGGTATCAGGCAGGTCACTTTATCTGTGCCTCAGTTTCTTCACCCGCAATATCAGGCTAAATATAGTACCGACTTCATGGGGATGTCGTGAGGGTTAAATTTCTTACCTTACATAAAAGTTACAATAAGTACTATAGAGCAGGAGCTATTCTTGTTATTTCTGGAATGCCTGAACTCAGATTAAAACATCCCGTCGGCACGCAATATCCTCTTTTTTTAAAATCACACAATGAGTAACCCACTCCTTCTGCAGCCTTGCCCGCCGTGTGCTGCTGTTAGGCAGCTGCTGTGTGCCAGGCATCTGGTTGGGCATGCCTGAGGCATTGTGGCATGGGTTATGGGGTGGGCATCTAGCGTGGGTGGGCTGCACCAAATGCTGTGCCTGTCTCTCCTCCAACGCTTTGGCAAGGCGGGCAGAGACTCAGGTTAAGTCACCCTGGGCAGCAGCCAAGGGTGGGAGCCAGTCGGCAAGGAAGCCACCTGGCAGCTCTCCCTCCGAGGGCGGACCTAGCAAGCTCGGGCTTGTGGTGGCTGTGGGCACCCGAGACTGTTGTGCACTTGTCCAAAGCTGACTCCATCTGAGCGTTGGTGGCAGACAGCTGAGAGGAGAGTGGCATGAGATTTCCCCTGATCCTGGCATCACACTGTGCCCTGAGCCCATCCCACCTCAAACCATGTCATGGACATGTTGAGGACGAAATACTCAGGCTCGCTCAGTGAGGCAGAGCCAGGCCGTGTGCTGGAACAGCCTGCATACATGTTCTCATCTGTCTTCGCAGAAACCCTCTAAAGAGAATCCTTATTCCTATTTGATGGGGAGAAAGCTGAGGCTCAGAGACATTTTGAGTCTTCCAAATCTGTGTAGAAGTCCTAGTTCTTCCAGTTGCTGAGTGACTTCAGGGCAGCTCCTTAACCTCTCTGAGCTTCTGTTTACTCACTTTGTAGTGTGTAGCAAAGATTCAGGGAGACAGTGTAGCTAAAACACTGAGCCTGGCAGTTTGCATAGTAAGTGATTAAAAAAAAAGGCCGTTATTGTTATTACTATTGTTGTTTTGACTTTTTGCAAAGTGATATTCCTTGCCAGTTTAACAGGGCTACCAACAGGATTTGAAGTGGATGCCTTGATGTCTACAGGAAGGAGTTATTTTAGGAAGAAAACACTTTATTACATTAGCAACAGATAAGTCTGTAAGTTTCCTGCCTAAAGGAAACACTCCTCTTCTCTTAATGGTCTTATTCGATGGGTGAAGCTTCTTCTGTTTCATGGATTTTTGCCTCTGGACCCAGACCTCACTCATTTGGATGCTTTGAGCAACAGGTCTAGTGTATAGTGGATGCTCAGCCAGTGCTTGTTTGATGAGTGGGTACCGTGCTCGCTGTGGCGAATGGGTGATTGGGTTCAGGCACAACCAGGCAGTTTCCCATGAACCGGGCACCTGATGGAATGACCTCCCCTTTGCAGAGGTGTTCCTGGGTGCTGGGAACATCCCTTGAAGTCAGTCACTTAACTGTGAGTGTGATGGCCAGAGATAAAGTTGCTGGCTGGAAACAGATGCTATCTTCCAACTCGAAGACCAGGGAATGGGTTAGAGGCAATGGATATGACTTTGACAGACAGGGGTACATCAACTGGGAGGGAAACTTCATTCATTCTTTCAATGAACATTTCTGTGCTCAGTGCTGCGATGCAGGGAGATGCCCTGTTGGTGCCAAGTGAAAGAAGAGAACTAGTCGTTGCGTGAATCTCAAATAGACTTTTTAGGGACTTTGCCACACTTGGGGAGGATCTGGGGCTGCTGTCTGCTATAATGGGCAGGACTCTTATGGTTCTGTCTGAGAGGAACTTACCTGGAATCAGCTTAAACAAAAGAAGATTTTTATTGGCTCATGTGACCTGAAAGGGTCAGGCATTCGGCTTCAGGTATGGCTGTATCCAGCTACTCGAATGTTATCTCATCCTACTCAGATACTGGCTCAGCTTTCCCCTGTATGGGTGGGCTTTGTTCTGAGCCAGGATTCTCCCCTGGCAGCTCTGTTTCGCCATCTTGGCATCTCCTAGGGAGAGAAAGCACCTCTTTCCCAGGCTTCAGCAAATGTCCCAGGATTCCCCCTGATTGGACCAACTTGGGTCCAGGCACTTGCCCAAGCCCTTCTGACCATCTGGAATGTCTCTCTCTTCCCTAGCCCTAACCTACTTGCGCTTCCAGTCCTGCCTAAGTGCCATGGCTACTGCTAAGTGCCTCTTCTCTTTCTGTCTTTATTGTCGTCTGCATTTTCTCTCTCTTGGGGCACAGTCATCTTTTTTGTGTCTTCTATCTAATTCCAGCATGTCCTGGCTGCACCATTTTCGTGTCAGGTAGACTAGGGCTCTTCGTAGGCCAGAGCCTCCTTTTTCTGCCTTTCTCCCCCTTACGTAGTATGAAAGCAGGATCGGTGTCGAGTTCATGCTTGTTGATGGATTTGGGGCATTAAGAAGGATTTAATCGAGAAGCCAAATCTCAGGATGGCTCATAGGAGGTTTGTAGGCTAACAGAGGCCAAAGAGAAGCCCAGGAAGCATCTTCTGAACCCCATAATTTGCAGAGGTCCCAAAGCCTTGGACCGTCACACTGACCAGGCGGGAAGGCGGGAAAGGAGGAAGGGCCTGATTCAGAAGGCAGGCTTCCCTGGTTCAAATCCCAGCTCTTCAGCCTTCTGGCTGTGT